TTAGCCCCGCCCGCTGCAACTAGAGAAAGCCCGCATGCAGCAATGAAGACCCAAAGCAGGCAAAAAAAAAAAAAAAAAAAAAAAAATGAGTACAAGAATTCATCAACAAGGATGCTCAGGACCTTAACAAAAACGAACAAACAAAAATCACAGAAAAACTAGAAATGGCACAAATGTCTCCAAGTAAGGTTGATAAAATACCTTATGATACATATATGTCATGGAATACCAGGCAGCCATTAAAGATCACGATGCAGAAGAATATTTAAAGATGTAATACATTAAGAGAAGACATCAGACAATGAGAAGACAGAGAATTACTTCTAGTGTGACCCCAATTGTGTAAAACAAGGCAGAACTAGATCTATGATAGAAAAAAACTGGAAACATAGGCACTAAAATGCTAACAATGATTATCTGTGAGTGGTGGGATTTTGTGGATTTTCTTATTTTCTTTGTGCTTTACTAGACTTCCTTAAATTTTTTTTATTTAAAAAAATTTTTTTTTATACAGTGAACACATGTTCTTAGATTCTGTATTCATCTGCGCCCTTCTGCCAGTCCTGGACCACTGCCCACGGCAATGGTGTCTTGGTGTGTGTTTTTCCAGAAGACAATGAGAAGAAGTGATGGTAAAGCCTCCCTGGAAGGCGCTCGGTGGCCTCGAGAAGCTTTTCTGGCCTTCCTCTGCTCTCAGGCCCCAGGATAATCCCCTTGTCCTTTGGCCCCTCTGTTGCCCGCCTAGACTCACCTGTCAGGAAGCAGGGCACGCGGGCAGTGGTGTTGATGAACTCACAGGGGCTCGACTTCTTGTTGTCAAAGGGCGGGTAGGCCAGCCCGTGGTCCTGGGCCTCCTGGTTGATGGCCATGAGGCCCAGTGGGCTGCTGAGATCCCGGAGGCGGCTGGCCAGGCTCGGCTCAGGGCTGTACACTAAACTGGCGTCCAGGAAGGAGGTCAGAGCGTTGATCTGCTCTCGGGCCAATGACTGGTAAGGTGGAGTGGGGCAGACAAACCCGGCCCGGAAGAAAGGCATGCATTTCCCTTGAGTCTTCACCTTGGGGTCGTTGCACGGGAACTGCAGAGAGATCGGGGTGGGTGACTGGGCAGAGGTGGTACAGCTGGCAACCTCTCCCCAGGGTAGGTCTGAATGCAGCTGGCAAAGATGCTGATGGTGCCCTCCTGGGACCCTGGCACCAGACAATGGCTCCAGATGCCTCCTGCTGATGCTATAAATCCTGGGCCCTCAACTCCCTGAAGGTCACTACATCTGCTGACTAAAAGGGCTGAGGGGGAATCATTCAATCTTTCATAGCAAAAGCTCCAAATTTTTGGTTGAGAGGGAGTCCTGAGATCCCGGCACAAGGAAGCAGGACATGAGGTGGAAAGGGTTTGTTAATAATTACTACTAACAACAGCTACCATTTATTTATTCTGGACCTACCATGTGCTTGGCATTATGCATACTTTATCTCTCTTTGGTCCTCATAAAACCCTGTAAGGTAGACAATTCTGTCCCGTTTTACACGTGAGAAAACGGAGGCTCAGAAAGGTTAAGTAATTTGCCCAAGATCTTACAAACTGAAAGGGGAAGATGTGGGATTCAGATCTAGGCTGACCTTGCTTCACAGCTTATGTTCTGTACACCACAACACATAGCCCCGATTTGTATGAGTGAATAAATCATTCTCTAACTGTAAAATCACGAATAAGAAGAAAGGTGCACCACTGCAAGTTCCTTTCCCTTCCTGCTGGAAATTCCCACAAATGCCTGCCACTCATCCATTCTGGGAGTAGCCTTCCCGACTCTGAGATGACTTACGGTAGCATTCCACAAATTTCACTGTCTATAAAATGAATCTCCTGGGGATTCCAATAAAATGTAGATTCTGCTTCCTAATGTCTGGGATGAGGTTTGAGATTTTACATTTCTAATAAGACCCCAGGTGACATCAGTGCTGCTCGGTCAGGGATGAAGACAACACTCCCCAGAGCTTCCCAATTTTGCCATTAGTGATTACTTGTCCATTTCCCACACAGGCCCTTTGTCCTTGACGGAAGGGACAGTGTCTTGTTCACCTTTGAATTCTAAGTGTTTAGTGTACTGCCTGGCGCAGAGTAGATGATTAATGTCTATTTGCTAAATAAATGGGTGAGTGAATGAATAGATGTGTGAGGCTTGGGAAGCTGTCAAATCAACATTCAAGATCTCCAGGAGGTCCTGGCTGACAGGCTGGGAATGTCTGCCACATCAGGGAGGCAAGGGGTTTGCCAGCGACCCGCAGCTGCAGGACCTACCATGATGGGGAAACAGTTGTCTCCCTGGATACAGTGCTCATCACACTGCACTTTGGAGTACTCGCTGCTCCCCAGTTCCGTGTCGGGGGCAAAATCCAGGTCGTGGTCCACAATTTGACCCCACTGCATCAAGAGCAGGGACGTGTTTTGGTCCAGAACACCCTCTTCATTTAGGTAGCCTACAATCTTGTTGGATACCTCACGGGCCTACAGGTGGAGAGAGAAGCACAGGGAGGAAAATGTGCTTTGAGGATTCAGATTCAACTGCAGTTTATAGAGTACCTATGATGTAACAGGTGCACTTCATCCTCATGACAAGCTTGTGAGGTAGGTGGCATTACCCCCATTTTGTAGATGAGGAGACTGAGGACTAGACAGGTGAGGTCAACTCACGAAGGTCCTGCCGCTACAAAGGGCCAGGTCTGTATGACGTGCTGGCTTCAAGGCCAGTGCTCTTCCCGCTCAGAGAGGGAACACAAAGACAGGCTGTCCCTGAAGTAAGTGCCACGGAGGTGCCAGGTGTCTGGGAATAGAAGAGGGGCTCTGGGGAGGGCCCGCCAACTCAGATGAGGCCGACAGATAGGACGTCCCGGCAAGCACCAGCTGATGCACTCCGGGGGCTGGGGCAGGGCAAGCGCGAACGGGATGGGGCACGGAAGCCATCTGCCTGGGAGACCCCAGGGTACTTGGCCTGACGGCAGCTGGGACGTGACCATCACGTGGCTGGGCCCCGGGACCCGGACTCTGCTGCTCTCTAGTGGCATTTTCCGGAACACCACCAGGGAGGAAGTCCAAATCTCCATCTCTCTCTCTCCGGATGCGGTTCTACCGCGCGTCTGTCCTCCCCCCTATTTCTTTTTCCTTTCCTTGTGTGTTTGTGGGAGGGCATCCCTTCCCCTCTGACTCCCATCTTTCACCCGCCTGCTCGGGGCTCGCCCCCACCCCGTGTCCGCCCTCACCAGTGGGACAGGGAAGCCGTTCCGCTTCTTCCTGGGCGTCCAGCCGAAGGGCAGGGAGAGCCCGTCCTCGTACTCCGCCGGCAGCCAGCGCGCCAGCGCCCTGTTGGACGCGCCCAGCGCGGGGTTCCTCCTGAAACAGCAAGACAGGCCCTCAGCCTAGGCGGCGGGTTCGCTCCGGGGTCCGCTTCTCCGCAAACCCCACGGGGATCCCCTGGGGAAGGACCCGGAGCCTCTGCCCAAGGGAAAGGGGGCGCGGAGGAGGGGCCTCTCAAATGTGGGGTGTCGGAACTACTGCCACCTCCGAAGGCGCGGGGCTCCTCTGCCCTGGGGAAAGGTGCTCCTTCAAGTGGGATACAGTGGTCTCTTTAGAAGGTGGGGAAGTTAGCGGGGTTCCAACAGAACAGATTCCAGTGGGACGCTAGTCCAGGAGGGTAAGGCGGTGGGAGTTAAGCCTGTAATGCCCAAGTGGCAAAGCCCCTGGCTGGGCTGAGCAGGGCAGGTGGGCTGGGCAGATGGGTTGGTTGTGGTGATTGGGAGAACCTGCCTCCTAAACCCACCTACTGGCCACTCACCTGTTATTACAGTCTCCCGTGATGGTGCGGTAAGGGCTGTTCTCATCACATTTCACCAAAGGAACTGGGGCACCACAGCCCACCTCCTGAGAGAGTGCAGTGAAGTCCAGGCTAAGGTCTGAAAGAGAAGGGACGCCAAAAGGGCTGAGTTCTTTCTCCATTCTGAGGCCCTGAGGGGAGGTTCATTTTTTGAACTTGATTTTTGGGGGAATACATTTTACGTTCTAAGTAAGCATTTCTCAGGGGGTTTCTCATTGAATCCTGACAACTCATTAAGGTAAGAATTTAAATTCTCATTTTACGAGAGAACGCGACTTGCCCAAGGCCACACAGATAGTAGCGGTCTCCAGAATTGTTAGTGGTTCTTTGTCTATCAGACCCTTTGAAACAACAGATCTTTCTTTTAGAACAATACCCCTGAGAGGTTAGGTACATGTTAGTATGAGTTAGTTTGAGAAGATTGCTTTTCTTCTAAAGCTCCACTGACGTCTAAGGTCCCAAGCACGCAGGAATCTAGACAGGAAAGATGTTGGGAAGGGACAGGGCATTTTTACGTGAGGGGCGCTGTGATCTCTGCGGGAGTAACAGAGCGGGGAGCTTTAGGCATCAGAGACCTCCACGTGGGCACAGAATGGAAAGAGCTGCCAACGTCCTAATGCAGCCTGAAGGGAATCCGGCTCTGGGGGCCTTCTTTGGGAGCTCACCTGCGGAAGTTGGCAGGGGCTGAGGTTCAAGCCCCAGCACCTTTTGAGTCTCAGAGTCCAAAGTGCTCCCTACTTATCCCTACCTTGTCCTGGTTTCCTCCTTTTGGAACTTTGGAATTTGCCCAAGTCCTAGGCCAGGTATCTTCCCCTGCTTGATGTTTTCCCAGGGAGAACCTCCTGTCAGCCTCTTCCTCCTGTCAAGACCAATCCCCTTCCTCCGTGACCCACCGTGAACAGTGACATTTGGTAGGGGGTGGGGTGGAGGGGTGGAGGAGGTCACGATCAATCCATCGGCTCATTGTTTCAGCTCCACGGTACCCAGAACAGGAGAGACAGCTCATCACCTGTGACGTAATCCCAGTAAATCCCCCTTGACACAGGTGGCTGAAATGTCCCGTCCACAGGCGGAAGTGGTGACACTGTGGTTTGGGACAGGGAGCGTGTGTTTATTAACTTTAGTCCTTCCTCTGGACAGAGCCCTTACAGATGGTGTTATAACAAAAGGCACAAATGTCCCCTCATTTGGAGTTGGCAATGTGACCTTGCTGGGCCCAAGTTCCTTTCTCTGCAAAAGGACCATTGGCCTGGCTGGCCTCCCAGCCCCTCCTTGCTCTGCAGTCCATGATTCTGACGGAGAGAGAGGACATGGCTCCCAGTAGGAACTGCGGCTTTTGGTGGCTTGTGTTCTCTCCTGCGGAGAGATGACCCCTTCCTGCCATCAGAGGGCTGGTGGGTTTTCTGTACCTGTGATGTTGGTCGAGGTCGCTTTCTGCCTCAGTCTCTTTAAGGACTCTTCCCACACCTGCCCATGGCGGATGGCCATGCGGGTCCAGCCCTTGGCGTGCTTGAGGTATTTGGAGAGCTGTCGGGTGGTGGGTGCCTCAGAGCTCATGGCCGTCTTCAACCTACAATGGAGAGCAATGGGGGAGTCATGACTGGGCCCTCGGCTCCGACCCTGTAGCAGGGGTGTGAGGTGCTGTGTGTGTACAGCGGAGCCGCGGGGGTGTGGGCAGCACGCAGGAGACCCCCACTTCTGTGCTCTCAGGATCTTTTCTTAGCTCTCCTCTGATGCCTCTCTGGGAAATCTCCTCTGGGAGGAGGAAGCTACAGTGTGTCTTTAAGCTTCGTTGAGTCTGGTTCTGAAGGAAGGCAGACAGATGGACATGAGCACTTCCTGATTAGAGTCAGAGGGTTGCAGCTGTGCTGGCTGCTTCCGAATCAGTTGGGGAACCTAAAAACACCTAAGTCCCAGGATGTACCGATTCAGACCGAGGAACCCCTGACCATGGAGCTGGCCTCGTGCACCGAGAATTCTGGAAATAACATGCCTATGGGCCCCAGTTCTGCCCATGAAAGCATCCTTCCTCCTATCTGGCCCTAGAGTTAGTGTGGAGTTTGTTTAGTTGTGGCTGTAGCATCTAGCCTCTTGTTGACCATTTCTTGGGCCAGATGTTCGGGCTTTGTCTTAATTACCTATCTATAAAAAAGAGAAGCCCCAAACCTTTCTACCACTAAGAAGTTGGTGACGAAGGGCAAGGTGGTGTCACAAAAATCCCTGCCTGAGAACCCTCTCCCCCTTCCTGTGCCTCAGTTTCTTGTGTGTGAGATGAGGGGTCCTATGAGATGATCTTTACGGCTCTAAGACTGAAATTTTGGAAGTGGCTCAAATTCTCACAAAGGCAACCCTGCTTTGGGGATATGCGTCACAGGCTGTTACTCCTGGCCTGTCCCTGTGGATCAGGTTATCGATTCTACATCAAGCATGAGGGGGCCTGGTGCTCAGCCTGAGGGGCGACAATGGGCGATGACTGAGCTGTAATCACCAGGCCTGACCCCTTCCAACCTCCCCCCAACCTTGGTAAGAAAGGACCCAAGAAGATAAGCCAGACTGCCTTTTGCTGCTGTTACAAGAGACATCATGGCCCAGTGGCCCAGACTGCTGCATGGCATGTCCGATATGGTAACCGCTAGCCACATGTGGCTGTTTAAATGGAAATGCATTAAAATTAAATACAATTAAAAATTCAGTTCCTCAGTGTCACTAGCCACATTTCAAGGGCTCCGCAGCCACGTGTAGTCAGTGGCTCCTGTACTGGACAGCACTGACCTAGAGTTTGAACCCTGGTTCCCCCAGGATTGGTTTACAGACATGACCTCTGAGTGAGCTAGGACTCACTGTGTTACTTACATCAGGGCCTTTGGAACACGCTGGCTGGGTTTGACTCCTGCGGCCACTTAGTAGCTGTGTGCCTTTGAGCAAGTTACTCAACATCTCTGTACCCAGTTTCCTTACCCGTAAAATGAGGATAATGGTCGTAATCTCGTTATTTGATCATTTTGACCTTCAAAAAGAGGTACTTAACATAGTTGGATTTAGCACTTTCTAGGATTTAGGGGAGGAAGGCGTGTGAAGTGCTGAGAGCCGTCTCTGGCACAGAGTGAACACTCACACGTGTTAGCATCAGCGCCATCACCATCATCGTGGGTCCCAAAGGGCCCCCCCACCCAAGAGAGAAGGTGTGTTGCTGGGCCTCCCAGGGCTCCACCCAAAGGTCCCATGCAAGACGCTACCTGTTTCTGCCTTTCTCCCCTGGCTAGCGTTCTGCGCGGTCTCCTGCCTGACCTTGACTCGCCAGGGACTTACCTCCTGCTCTGCCTCAGGGCCGGGCTCCACGGGAGCAAGCAGGGCCTTGGAGGAACTCTTTTCCCATCTCCAGGCCTACCCCCTTGTCCTAGCCCCCATCCTCTCCCATCTGGATGGCCACAGCAGACTCCTAATGGGACTCATGCCTCCTCTCCTGTCCTTCTACCGTCCGTTCTCCATCCGGCTGCAGGAAGGCGCTTTTTCGAATGAAAAGCAGACCAGGCCACTCTGCCTGAAGCACTTTCTTGGCTCTCCCTGTGACGTGCATGAATCTACGGGCTTACTGCGTACGTGCTTGTGACGTTGTGGGATCTTTGCCTCTATCTAGTTCCCAAACATTTTCATCACCCTCCAAGGAGACCCCACACCCATGAACAGCCAGCCCAACCTCTCCCCTTCTCCCCCAGACCCTGTCAGCCACTGCTGTGCCTCTGACTATCTGGCCCTCAGGCTCCACCTGTGTGTCCTCTTTTCCTACTGCCGCCACCAGCGTGGGCCTTCTTTCTGTTTCCTGAGCACCCTAAGCTCTTTCCTGCCTCAGGACCTTTGCCTTTGCTGCTCCCAGACCCTGGCTTTCTACATGGCTGGCTCCTTCTCATCCTCCGTCAGGCTTCCCTGCTCCCTGCGCCTAGAGTAGCAGCCACTGCCCTGTTTATTTCCTTCATTTTCCTTATCACAGACTGTGAGTCACTATATTGTGTGTGTGCTTGTGAACAAGATGTTTAAATGTGATTCTTTACGTCTCCATGAGACCCCTAAATCCAAGAACTAATCGGTAGGGATGAGTTCCAAGGCAGGGCTGGGTCGTCCTGTGCAGCACGACTTGCAAAGGAGGTGATGAAAACCAACTGTGCGGCTTTTATTCTACCCTGACCTTGGGCTATAAAAGGACTGACATTAAGGAGGGAGAGAGAATGTTTGTCTGGAGGTAGTTGCTGAAATACCAGGCATTTCCCTCCTGCCACTGTGGGGCTGCTTCTTGGCACTCAGTCTAGTGACAAGGGCCTTGAGAGGAGGGCCCTGCTGTGTGTCCTGGAGCTATGGCTGGTGGTTGACCCCTGCCCAAAGAGCCTAAAGAAATCAAGAAAAGCAGACGTGGCTCGTGCTGTGCACCTAACAGCAGAGTAAGCCAGACAGGGCAGCCCTCGGCCCCAAATTGGCACATCCTCCAGCAGCAGGGCAAAACTTTTAGTCTTCTGCGGCATCTTTAAAGGGGACCTGGCCCAAGATGGTGTGAGGAGGGGTGACGGAGGGAGCCGCAAGCTCCAGGGCTGAGGGGTGGAGCTGTGAGCTACTGGTCAGAAACTTCTCTGGATCAGAGAATTGGCAGCAGAATCTCTGAGAGCCAAAAAGCGCCCATGGAGGGAAGGAGCTTCTGACCCAACCCCTAACACCCAGGCACTAAGCTGTCCAGGCGACTTAGACTTTGCCATCCTGTATCTCTCCTACCTCCCCCAGCTTGACCCCTAAGAGGGACAATCCTGGGCTGGGGGATGAGGAGAATCTCGGGAAAGAGGGACGGGCAGACCATGCGCCCTTCTCTCACTATGAAAGCCTAAAGCAGCTCCGAGGGGAGGAAAGAGAGGCTCTGGGCTCTGTCTTCTTCTGCTGACATTTGAGTTTCTGAAAGGACTAGAAGTGATCAGAGCACATCTTGTCATCTAAAAGTCAGCAAAAAAGTTATGGGACCTCTTGCGAGTTTATGCAAGGGCCAGGGAGGAATGAAACCCCAAGTTCAGTAAAGGGGCAGCAAGAGGAACGAGTAAGGTTGTTTTCTGCTCAGTAAAGTGGTTACTCTTGTTTATCTGCCTCTCTAGCTCCAGCATGGGCTTCCTGAGGGCAGGGACCAAGTCTGCATTGCTTATTTCAGGAAACTCAGGCCCTACATGTGGTAGGGAGGTGGCTGACTCTGCTGGTGTCCTGCACGTTTCTCAAGTTCATTTGAGCCCATTTATAGCATTGGCGTGCCCCTCCCCTAGCTGCTGATGGCTCACTCCCGTAACTTTCTTGGGCAATTGCTTCTGAGTCAGGGTGGCTTCCTGGCTGGAGGTGCCTGGGAGTCACACAGTGTGCTACACCGCGCCTGCCGCCCCCCCCGCCCTGACCCAGTGCCAAGCTTGCAGCACGTCTGGCTGACATCAAGGACCCTTTTGGCAGGTGAAAGTTCTGCTCTCTTGCTTGGGGTAGGATAGGCTCTGAGGTGCAGCCTACACTCCGGATCTCCCTGTGGGGTCAGCTGGGGCTAGACCTTAAACCACATCCCTGCTTAACCCCTTCTTTTTACCTATCTGGCCTCACTCCGCTACAGCTTTCGTGAGAGCGCTCCCCAGTAAGCCACCCACATGTGAATCCAGGTCTCAGGTTCTGCCTCAAGGGGACCTGACCTAAGACATGTTGAATGAATGGAGAACTTCTAGGGACAGGCTTTCTGAGAGTCTGCAATGCATGACCTAAGGAATCACTCAGCCATGTGGAAGAAAGTGCTTATAGGATCAGATGAGACATCCCCTTCAAGGTAACTTAGAGGCTGAGGATTTTAGGAACTGTTGGCTTTTACTCATACTTGCCCCATACTTGCAGGTGGGCAGGGGCTGGGAGTGGAAGGGCAGGTTGGAAAATTGCTTTGGCTCATTGGCTTGTCAGGACTGGCCTAGATGCACTCGTCAGCCTAGGAAGAGAAGCAGGTGTGTCTCACCTACCTGGTCCGGGAATCCAGGAAGGCCTTGTTGACCTGGATCTTAACCTGACTCACAGCATCAGAGATGGTGAAGGTGCGGGTGTCCTGCTCTTGGAGGGGGAGAAGCAAGGAGCAGGGTATCAGACACCACTCTTCGGAGAAGCCCTTTGCTCTGTCTCCCTCTTTCTCCACCATTAGCCCCACCACTCAAACCTGAGCAGAGAAGATCAAGATTAGGAAACATTCGACAGGAGGAAAAGCCCAGAATGGGAATACTCTCTGATCCTCAGTAAGGTGTCAATATCACTCTTTAGGGGCCCAGTAGAATATATTCGTCCCTCAGAATCCACAGCGGATTGGTTCCAGGACCCCCCAGGATGCTCAAGTCCCTTATGTAAAAGGGCTTAGTATTTGTATATAACCTATGCGCATCTTCCTGTATACTTTGAATCACCTCTAGATTACTTATAATACTTAATGCAATGTAAATGTCATATAAATAGTTGCCAGAGTGGGGTTTTTTTGGGGGGGGAGGGGGGAGCTTTCTGGAATCTTTTAAAAAAGTATTTTCGATCCATTCCTTGTTGAATCTGCTGATGCAGAACCTGTGCATACAGAGGCCTGACTGGACCCAGTGATGGGATTAAAAGGGCGTGTGACCACTCAGGTTGGCTCTTGGCTCTGGGCTGTGGGGATTTTTTTTTTGGTTCTTGGTGAGGTGGATCTGAAAACAAGTCCCTCAAAAGGCTTAGCTGATCACAAGGACCCTGAGGTAGGGAAGGGGATGGGGTAGAGTAGAGGTGGGGTTCCTTGTTTTACTCGAATTGGGGTCTGGAATGGTGGGGGGATGAGGATGCAGTCTTTGAACAAGGGGAGTGTAGTGGCTTAAATAGTGTCCCTCCAAAAAACTTGTCCAACTACCACCTGAGAATATGACCTTATTTGGAAATAGGGTCTTTGCAGATGTGGCTAATTAGGAAGAAGTCATACAGGTACAGGATTAGAGTGGGCTCTAAACCCAATGACTTGTGGTCTTATAACAAGAGGAGAGGACACACAGAGGACACCAGAGAAGAAGCCCATGTGAAGATGGAGGCAGGGATTGGAGTGATGCACATGTAAGCCAAGGACTTCTGCGAGCTACCAGAGGCTGGAAGGGGCAAGGAATGATTCTCCCCTAGAGGCTTCAGAGGAGCATGACCCAACCAACACCTTGATTTAGGAATTCCAGCCTCCTGAACTGTAGGAGAATAAATTTCTGTTGTCTTAAGCCGCCCAGTTTGTGGTCCTTTTTTACAGCAGCCCCAGGAAACCAATACGAGGTGGTACTTACCATTTGTGTCAGATTCTGCAACCTGGGACAAGCTCAGGGAAGCCAAAAGGACTGGGAGATGGAAAAGGACGCTCATCGCTGAAATGAGACCAGGATCAGGATGTGAGCCTTGTAGAGTCCCCATGGGTAGGACTGAATCACAGAAAGGGGGTGGTAAAGCAGAGAAAGCCCAGAGAACATGAGACACCCTAACATTAGAACAGAGGAGGGGAAACCACAGTAAGTAACTAAACATCTACCATGTGTGCAGGCCCATGGTAGGTCCTGGGAGATGGAAAGAGGCAGTGGTGGAAGGGAAAGAACACAGGCTTTGTGGTCAAAAGGTCTTGAGTTGTAGTTATGCATTTGCTCTAACTAGCTCTGTGACATTGAGCAGGTTACTTGACATCTCTGGGCCTCCGGCCTGATTGAGTGAGAGGGTTGGACCAAGTGATCCAGGATGTCTGATTCTGCCCTGACACGCCGTGACCCAACCTCCTGTACCTGTCTTGTCACCGGTGACAAATGCTCTTACCAAACCCAAAACACAACTTTGGAGTTCCTCTTCCTTTTTCCCCTCAGGATGTATTGCTCCCTGAAAGCCATCCTCCTCTGGCCCAGCACCAGGGGAGTGTGCCTGAGAAGCAGACACTCAGTTCCTCCTATGGGAACTGGCAAGGAACTCCACCCTCCCTCAAAGAGTCGACATGATGGGAAAACACGAATGAAAATTGTGGCAAAGCCCAGAGCTCTCCAGAGTTAACAGCTGTGTTCCAGGTTTTGCCTGAAGAGATTCCTGCTCTTAGATCAATGGCTTCATCATGAGCTTTAACTCTGAAGCTAAATCATCAGATTAAAACTGTGCAGCTTTGTTTGCTGATGAGGGGCTTTGGGGCTCAGAGTGTTCATTAGGATTGGTGGAATAGACCCAAAATGTCTCTTGAGGAGATTCTGGTTCCAGCCCAGGAGACACCCATGCTGTACAGGTGGAAGGATTGTGCGTCTAGACCATGTTCTTCACGAGAGGGTACAGGCTCTCCCCATAGTGTGCATTCACTGGTTGGGCCCCAGAAACGTCCTCAGATTGGCTGCCCACTCTGTCTCTACTCAAATCTCCCTAAGAGAAATCGTGGTTCTAGAGTTTTGCCCAAGAGACCACCCAGGAGGTCTTCCAGAAACTTTCCAGATAATCTCCAGAAAAGGAGAACTGTGTATCTGGACAGGTAATTTCAGCTTCCCTTGCACTCCCCCAATCTTTTCCTCTGACCTTTGATGATCCCCCTAATAATTTTTATGTTGTTGAATGTACTTCTTGTAAGCTAACTGTAGAAAAAAAAAAAAAAAAAAAAAAAAAAAAAACCAAGGTGTGAATAAATACCTCTCTGGCCAAGATTTTCCCTGGCACTTTTTTTTTTCCCCAAGAGGAAAACAGCTTGACCCCTCAGTGGGCTCCTGTCCTTACACCTCTATGGCCCCGCGTAGTCCTCCTATTTGTGCTTCGAGGAGACCACTGAGCCAGCAGAAATCTGCCCCTTTAAGCAAACAAATACGATGGTTTTGGAGTAAAAAGCATCACTGATATTTTTTTAAGTTGTGGTAAAAACGCACAGGATAAAATTTACTACCTTAACCATTTTAACCAGACAGTACAGTAGTGATAAGTACATTCACATTGATGTACAACAGATCTTTAGAACTATTTCATCTTGCAAAACTGAAACTCTCTACCCACTAAGCACCAACTCCCCCTTCCTCCCTCCGCCCAGCCCCTGACAACCACCATATCATTGATTTTTAAGAGAGCTGATGGGCACACAAGTATTCATTATATTATTCTTTCAATGACTAGTGTGTTTCCTGATAAATCAAAAACAAAAAGTGAAAGGTTAGTCTGTGAAAGTACGCATCGTCTCAAATAGATTGAGGAAGAAAAATATAGCTGAAGAAATAAAAGTTGAGATATCTGAACAGGAAAAAGTCCTTAGATACTCATTTCTCCTCTCCTTTCCTTGGAACCTCTTTAATACTCCCCATCACTGAAACATGGTGGGAGGGAACCTCAAGGCAAAAGCTAAATTATTTTCCTTGTCTCGGCCATCTTTCCTGGTGGGTGTGAAGGAAGCACGTGGGACAGAAAGCAGAGAAAAGCAAACACGAGGTCATGCTGCTGGGAAAGGGGTGTTCAGAAAGATCCTGGAGGAACCCTATCTGCAGCCAGAGCCAAGAGGCTTCTGGGATGTTTGGATACTTACCCACATTCTTATCATCATGCTCAGTGCAGAAACCCTTTCCCAAGCCCTTTGGTTTGCATCAAAGCTTGGAGCCTTCCCTGAGACATGAAGCATTATCTGGAGACAGAACCACAGCCTCTGCCTCTCAAATGCCAGTCTGGTCCACAATCCCCTGACTCTTACTCACACTCTCCTATGCAGTGCCCTCTTGGCCCCTTGAACTCCTATTCATTCTTTAAAACCCAGGCCAAATGCCGCCTTCTCTGTGAAGTGGACCAGATCTAGGCAAAATTAGGTCATTCTTTTTTCTCTCTTCCCACAGTACTTTACTCACATCTCGTATCACTGTTTTCATATCCGTTTCCCCATCAGATCATAAGCTTCTCAAGAGCTACGTCCTATTTTTGTTTTTTCCACTGTCCAAGCCTAGTGTTGGTACATAATAGGTGTTGGGTACATGCTGAATGAATGAAACTCCCACGGTAGAGAAGTTCAGCATCCAGATGGTGCAGAGGGAGAGGGTGGTGATGGTCCCTTAACAGGCTTCTCCCACCTTAATGTGGCTACTAATCACCGGGGGACCTTGTTAAATGCAGATTGTAACTCAGAAGGTTATAGAAGGGACCTGAGAGCCTGCACTTCCAACAACTTCCAGCAACGCCGATGCTGCAGGTCTACAGACCACACTGAGTACCACGATCTCCTAGAGTCAGGCTCTCAGACTTGCTGAGAAGTCACCAAGGGGGCTGCAGGAAGGCCTGAGAAGGGAAGGCATCAGTAGGATTCTTTTCCATGAATGGTGAACGCTCTGTTGAGCGTAGTGGGATGAGCCGGAAAGAAAACCAATGAACTCACCATCACCCCCAAGAATGTTCTATTTGATCTTTTGAGTAGTTCCAGTATTAAGAGGAAAATAGAGAAGAGACAAGCTCTTATCAAGCTCTCTACAGCAGAAAAAAATCCCCCTTAGCCACAGGGTTTGGGATATGCAATTTCATAAAAAAACAATATGATTCAATCACTCAGTTTTCCCAGGATGAAACCCATTTAAATATGGATGCAATTCATAAATCTGATTGAGAACATAGTGTCCACAGGACATTGGAGACACCTGGGACTAGGCATTCAGGGCTAACTAGATGTTCAGGTCTGCTATCAATAGCATGAGACACTAGAAACAGGTTGAAGATCTGAGATCCCTGGCTTAGGGGACCCCTTAAACACTGCAAAATTTTCACTAGAGTGAATTTTCATTAGCGTTCATATCATAATTGCATCAGAGTCTCAAGAACCCCACATGGAGCATCATTCTGTTACTACTTTCCCCCAACTTTCTGTGCGACCTGGACACATGATATGTCTTAGATCTTAGTTCCTAAACAGGATGGATGAGAGGAATATGGTACCTTCCAGCCCTAAGAGTTTATGATTCTATGGCTCGGTGTTCAGACTCAGAAAAGCCTCTTTGCCCCACAGTGGATTCAATCACATTCTCCCTTATGGATTCAATCACATTCTCCCAAACAGGGATGACCTGCCAGGTTGGCAGCGAAATCTGGCACCAGAAAATGCCTGAAGAAGACAAGTCCAAATGCAGTACCAAGCTTTCTGAGAAGCCTTTAGGAAATTTCCTCATCAACTTTGCAGATTCCAGTTAATGAGTCTTACCTGCCAAGTGCCTTGGCCTCCTGTGGCAGCCAGGGGAGTTTCTCTCCTTGGAGGAGCTGGTCTTTTATACCGTCAATCAGGAATTAATTTCAGGGAAAGGCCCAGAAAGAAAGATTATGAGGAGCTGATGTGGCTTGGAGGAGGATCTCAGGTT